GCCTCCTGTCTGAGCTGCTTGTCAGTTTTGTGAGCTACAAAGGCAAGTTGACCTCCTTGCTTACTGCCTTAACTTGCTGGAGAGGACAAAACATCCTCAGACACAAGACGAAAAACAGTCCAATGCAGGGGACTTGGGAGGAGAGATTTCAAGACAGTCCAAAGTCCGGCGAGTGGAAGAACATGGAAATGGGGGACGAAATTATGAACAGAAAGAGCTAGCAAGCAGGCTTTGGCAACACTGCAGAATAGCCCTTCGTGTGTGTGGGATGGGATCTTAAGAATACGTGAATGGGGGGCACCTGGGTGGCTCAGTCGTTAAGCATCTGCGTTTGGCTCAGGTCATAATCCCGGGGTCCTGGGTTTGAGCCCCACATCAGGCTCCCTGCTCAAAGGGAAGCCTGCTTCTCCCGCTCCCACTCCCTCTGCTTGTGTTCCCTCTCTCACTGTCTCTCTGTCAAATAAATAAAATAAAATCTTAAAAAAAGAATACAGAAATGAATTTCTATCAAGAGACTCCGAAGCCTGTATAGGAAACAAAGGGATAAAGTCAGGAGTTGCAGCAAGGGTGCTCAGCTCTGCTCCTGGGTCCGGAGAACAATGTGGGAAGAGGCTGGAGCAGGAAGGAGGGGAGGGGCAGGTGGAGGGATGGTGCTAGAGCTTGGGCAGAAGAGAACCGCAACTCACACTGCTGTGGGATGACTACAACCTGATAAGGGAGAGAGTGCAATTTGTTCCTAGAAGACGCCTCATCAATGTGATCCAGAGGATGAACAATGAGACTGGAAGGGTGTAAAGAGAAAAGGGCCCATGACATTGTTAAACCAAACCCTACGGAGGGTAGCATACCTGCCATAAGGTATCTTAGGTATCTTATGAAGTAAGCACTTTATACATTCATTTTTTTTTTAAAGAATCTGTGCGTGTGTGAGAGAGAGAAAGCATGAGCAGAGGCAGAGGGAGAAGCAGACTCCCCGCTGAGCAGGGAGCCTGATGTGGGGCTCCAACCCAGGACCCGAGCCAAAGGCAGATGCTTAACGGACTGAGCCACCCAGGTGCCCCTACATTCATTTATTTGACTTTTGTCAAATAACACTTGTAATAGCCCTGTGGACTAAGGAAAACTGAGCTTTAATAAGCATACCTAATCTGTACAAGTAACTCAGCTAGAAAGTAGTAGAGCTGGGATTTGAACCCACATCTATATGACCTCAGACACTAAACTCTGGGAAGAAAACTAAAGATAAAAGAAACCAATACAGGAGAAAGTGAGGGGTGAATCAGCCGGCCTGGATGTTCATTGTCTGTGCCTCCTTTATCCCATCCCAGTGAGTCATTTCCCCTTCCTCTGCCCACAGTCCTGGCACTGACTTGGGCATTCACCCCTACCTCACCCTCAGTTCCTGGGGTCTGGCTCTCAGAAGTGAAGCATGTATTCTGGGCTTGTGCCAGTCAGCATGAGCATTCCCTGGCCACAGGACATGGTGTAGGCTTTAAATGTGATCTAAGCCTGTCTAATCAGAATGGCTCTGAACAAGACTCTGGCTCTTTCCTGCTGGACTTTTACCCCCGGATGACAGGACTAAGGGCTCCCGCAGCTACCTTGCCATCAGATCTAGGATCTTTCATGGACTTCTACGTGCAGTTGAAGAATGAATCCAAACCAGAGGTGGCCAGAGCCTAGAGCCTGAGATAATGACTTCTAATATGGTCTGAGCCTTGAGCCTACCTGTTTCTAAAGCTAGACCTATCCTGAACTTTTCACTGAAGGTAACCAACGAATTGCTCCCTTTTTAAGATGAATTTAGGGGTACCTGAGTGGCTCAGTCAGTTAAGCGTCCACCTTTGGCTCAGGTCATGATCCTAGATTCCCAGGATCAAGCCTGGCATCAGGTTCCCTGCTCAGAGGGGAGTCTGCTTCTCCCTCTCCCTTTGCCCCTCCCCCTGCTCATGCTCTCTCATTCACTAAGTGAATGAAATCTTGAAAAAAAAAAAAAAAAGATAAATTTGTCTACATTTTCTGCTACCTTAATCAGGAGTCCTACTATATATACCACATACATAAAGCATCTGTCTGTATGAATAAGATCAGAAGCATCTGGTGAGAATCAAGTTGGGCAGAGACTGATACATGACCACTGGGGTCCCTCACTTAACACAGATGGAGGTTTTCCAGAGCAGATCACCAAACTGGAGGAGAAGGAAGATTTAGTACTGTCTGATGAATAATTCTAACTAACCAAATGTCTGAACATCTTATTCTGGGAACATAGAACATTTAATAAGTCTGGATTTGCTTAGCTAACTATTTCGTCTCTCAGAAAGCTAAAAGGAAAATGTTATTCTGCCTTTATTCAGACTCAGAAGGTAAAACAAGTTGGGTTTTTGGTTTGTTTGTTTGTTTTTAAGGAAGGAATCTTGGGCGAGCATGATTATGGGATTTTAAGAATTTAGTAAGCGCATAATAAGAACAAAAATTAAAAGTTCAGAGAAAATCTAGGGACAATAGCCTGAGACCCTAAAAGGAAAGGAAGGCAGCCAACAGATAAGGGATGGAGCCTGTCTGAAACAGAATCTGGGGATAGTTAAGTACAACATCTTCAGTTAGGAAAAATTAAAAAAAAAAAAATAGCCAAATCTCAGCTAGCAAATTAATCCTGAATAGTTTGAGGCAGGCATCATTTTTCAATCACAATACTCCTTCCTGTTAAGCCTGATTTCGTTCTCATGGCTACCTTTGGCCCAGCGCCCTAGTCAGCCATGAAGAATTGAGCAGAATTGGGACCCCAAGAAAGAACCCATTTGCCATTGCTGGTCTAAAGGAGCCAGTACAATCACGGAGGCAGCTCTCGGAGCTCAAGTTAGAAAAGGGTATGCACAAGAAGAGGAAGGTGGGGAACGAAATCAAGCACAGATGCACATGCACAGTGGACGAGCCCACAGGAATGATGGCGAGAAAAGCAGAATCTAGAAGGAGCTGAACTTCGCTTATTTAAAGCAAAGCAAAACAAAAACAAACTTTCTATTTTTCTAAGAATTAAAATGAAGGTCGGGCGGGCTTTAAAAGAATATGAGACATGGGTATCTCTGCTTGGGGAAGATGATGCATATAAATAAAGCTGAATGCTTTATAAACTTCTGGATTTAGTTCCACATCTTCATCAAGAAGGATGATCTTCTCTGTAAAAAGGAAAACAACCTCAGTTATGAGAGATTGAAAGTCCAAGACCGGAAGGAAGATGGGAAAGGCCCCAGGCATCAGCATCCCAGGACCTAAGGGAACTCAGAAAAAGGCTCAAGAAACCTCTCAGGTGATTTCTGAAGAATCAAAGAGAATGGGAAAATGGCCAAAATATTAGAGACTGGCAAACAGCATCCTGATTTTCAAAAGAAGGGAAAATCAGATTCCATTCACCGTAAGACTGGACAGCCTACCACCAACCTAGAGGCTAAGCAGCATCCCTAACTGGGCAGATTTCACAGCACACAGGAAAGAAAGCACCAGAAAAAGGCAAATGGCTCAGTAGAAAAATGGGCAGAGGACAGGTACAGGCAGTTCACTGAAGGGGAAACAGAAGCCCGCAATAAAGAGAAAAGATTTCCACCATCATGCAGATACACACTGAAATAACCAGATACTATTTTTTTTTAAGATTTAATTAATTTATTTGACAAGAGAAGAGAGAGAGAGATAGAGGGAACACAAGCAGGGGGAGTGGGAGGGGTAGAAGCAGGCTTCCCCTGAGCAGGGAGCCCGATGAGGGACTCTATCCCAGGACCCTGAGATCATGACCTGAGCCAAAGGCAGATGCTCAACGACTGAGCCACCCAGGCATCCCTAACCAGATACTATTTATCTACACAGCAGCTCAGCAAAAAATTTAAAAACTTGACAATATCAACTACTGGCAAAGATGTGATGAGATGAGTACTCTCATTAGGGGACTATACTGCTTTCTTTAAAGGGCAACTTAGTATATTGATTTAAATTAGAAACACATTGTATTCTCACCCAGCAATATGAAAGGCACACATGCAGAGGCCTGCAAAAGGCTTTTCATTACAGGACTATTTATAATGGTAAAAGTTGGGGAAAAAAATAAACCATCCAAGGCTGGGACCATTATGGTCCTATAAAATGCCATATACAACAGTCCAAAATAAAGCAGAAACACACACACTGGTAAGGAAGGATTTTCGGGCGGGGGGGGAGGTTGACGAGCTAAAACACACCAAATGAAATCCACTTGCAGTCGCTGAAAAATCCTTCCTTTAGATTGCTGGAGAACAACCTTTTGTTCTGAGGCCTCACTGACAGACCACAGTCAAGGGGGCCTCTAAACAGAGGACAGTGTCCAGATAGTGAAATATAGGCCCATGCCAGAGGAGGACTGGCCAACACACACCCTGACTTTTCCAGAGCTCTCCTACCTTCTCCGAGATCCTGACTCCACTCTTCGTCCTGCGCTTTCTCTCAGGGAATTACCCACAGCCAACAGACTCAGGAATCTCAAGATCCTTGAGTGTACCCTTGTTTTGACCACGTGAGGGAAGGGGTAGCTGGAAGATAGCCCCCTGGCTAGCCCCAGCAACATGGTGGGCAGTCTGAGGCACATTTTCAGTTTGGCAGATCTTTCTCATTTGTCTCTCTCTTCCCCAGTCTGGTGCCCCAAAACTATCCCTCCCACCCCACAGAAGAGAAGGACAAATGAGAAACGTGCACACCAGGTTCCAAGGCTCCGTATCCCAGGCAATCACCTCACCCTTCCAGGTCTTTGCATTTCTCTGCCCAATGCAGAGAGGACCAGATAACTTCTGGAGGACCGTACCATGTAGGCATTCTCCTCCCAGAAGAATTCATTGTTAAACAGGACCTCAAAGAAAGGGCAGCGCTTAATACGAGTGACTGAAAGGTGGAATTTGGGGCACCCAAATGTTCTTATCTGGGTCCCCATCCTAGTGTGTGAAGTACTCTGACGGGGACCTTCCATTGGGACTGACCTCTTCAGCGATGATCGAGACAGCACCTGTGCGGCCTGGTTCATGGCCCGGACCCACGCATTCATGTCCTCCTGGGTGTCTGCACTGAAGTAGTAGGTCCTCATGCCCGACTGCTCAGCCTGAGAGCCCCCCGCAGAGCTGTTGTAGATGAGTGCTCGCATGCCCGTGTGCACAGCCTGTAAACAGGAGATGGAAACCAGGTCAGAGAGGTCAGCACCCGTTTTACTTCGAGGAGCCGAAACAAGAAGACACTCCAGCCATGCTCTCCCCCTTTTCCAGACTGAAAGCCCAGGTGCCACCCAGCCTGTTCCCATGCCTGGAAAACATCACGGCGGGGTTCCCCTTTCCTAGTGCAGTCAGCCCCAGGGACAGCTGTGTCTGGTCCCCATGGTAAGGCCCTGCAGCTGTACCTATTCCTATCTCTCTTACTCCTGCTCAAGGAGGGGCCTACTGTCAAGGCATCTGTGAGAGGGAATTTCCAAAACCCTCATTCTGTAGAAGCAAACTCTCTGGAATCCCTGTTTGGGTTCTTCTGAAGCAAAGAGTTAGTGGAACTGAGCCAACAATCAGCAGCAACAGCAGGTGGCTTGGCGCAGGTACACGCTGGGTCTCCCAGCTTGGCCGTGAAACGTGACATGTGCCCATCAGACCTGCTGCTCTTCTCTCTCTCCCCAAAGGCACAAGAGTCTGCCATTCAACTGAAAATCCTTATATGCCTACTATGCGCTAGGAAGCCTCAAGGTGCTTTCACATGTACCCTTGCAAAAAAAAGTCCAAGAAGAGGTACTGGAAATGACCACTGAAAAGCAGCCAGGATGAGTGCAACGAAGAGGCAACGCCACAGTTCCTCCCTCTGTGTTCTGAAAGGCAGGGGCCTGTCTTAACTTTTTAATGAAAAACCTCACCAAATCTGCATAGGATGCTTGTGTGAGGAGGAAGATCAGCAAAGGCGAACAGTGCCTCCTAGGTGTCTCCTGGGTACTTCCATGACTTTCATCTCATTTTAATCCTAATGGCCCTGAGAGGTAGGGACAGAATCTCTATTTTACACACGTGTCAAATGAAGGTCTGAGATGTTAAGTAACTTTCCCTGATCTCCATGCCCAGGAACGGATTCTTCACAGCATTTAACATTACCTGGCATTATCTATTTTACACACAAGTTTGCTTATCACTGGTCTCTTCCCTCCAGAATAGAAACTCCATGAGAGCAAGGACTTGTCTACTTTGTTCACTAAAGTATCCCCAGGAATAGTGCCTGGCACCGAGTTGGTGCTCAACAAATGTTTGTTGAATAAATGAAGAGTTGGAGCTAGGTTTATTCCTAGATCTATCTGACTCTGAGTCCGAGCTGCTCTGTACAATGTTCCCAGGTCCCACCCAGAAATCAGTAATGATTACACAGATCACTGGTCCAATAATCTGGATCCAGACTGAAAGGCAGACCTCACACAAGGGCCAGTCAGAGAAAATAAAATGAAAGAACCAGTTAGGAGGTGGGAAATAGCATGCTTCTAGAATCACTAATGATCATGGATGAAACCTCTCAGATGAGCTGTCAACATTGGCTTCTGCAACCCAAGCTAACACCTAGGTCCAAAATGCATATAAAATATGGGCCTGCTAGTGACATTGACATACCTGAATCTATCCAGCTAGTTCCAAGACAGTACAGGCAAACAGCCTGCAGCTAAGAGTCCCTACAATGACCAAAGCAAACCTGATATCCTTCCTTGCATGTATAAGGGGCTAGTCACTGTCCCAGAAAAGATTCCTCCTGTTTTAGTAAGGTGGAGATAAGACAGTGAGAAAAGAATGAAAAGGAATGTGTTGTGTCTTATTATGAGTCAGCAGAAAGTCCTGGAAAAGTTCCCCTGGACAAGGACCCCATAACTTCTCTGATACCTCCTCCCAGACCTTCTTCCCAGTTACAGAGAGTAGACACTCGCCCCACCAGACACAAGGCCACCCACAAGCATAAGGCACCCTCAAGGGTATGAGAGAGAAAGCAGGTCCCTACTATACTAGTGTTCTTAGAGCCAGGCTTGTAAAGGAAATCAACATGGGACACTCTTCAAACATGGAGAGTTGGCATGTCTGCAAATGGGCCTTGGGAGTTAGACCCATCGTTACAGAGTAGCTACACATGATCACAAACAACCTCTAACCAAATTGCCAATATGTGCTCTGTCCAGCTGCCCTTGGTTCTGAAGAACAGATTCCTAACTACATTCTGCCTGTGCTTGGGCATAAAAGACATACTAACTGTAAAAGTGAGAAGTACAGGGAGTCAGCCCCATGACCCAAGTCCAAAGTGCACGGAGTCTGAGGAAGATGCCAGAGCCTAGATGATGAGAGGTCTTCTCAACCCTTCCCTAGTCTCATCTCAAAGATGCTCCCTTCCGTTCTGCTCTCTGCTTTCCAATTAGCACAGTTCTCCTAGGCAACTTTGCATGACCAAAGAGAAAAGTTTAGGCTATGCCTAAAGGAAATGAGGGTGTAAACAAGGAAGATTTTACCTCAAAAACTTAAGGCTCTTAGGACAAGACTGCTTTCTTGGCCTTTAGGACTCTGGTCTGGTTCCAGCACTAGGGAAAGAAACTGGAATGCTCACACCTCATGCTCCCAGCATCAGCCTTTAGAACACAGAGACCAAGGCCAGGGCCCATCAACTGACTGATTCATTCTCTAACTCATTCATTTAACAATAATTTTTCATTAACTGTTTATGTGAAAGGCACTAAACCAGAAGGAACAGGCTTAATCCAGGTCCAGACAGTTTACAGTCATGTAGAAAGACTACAAATACCTACAATTATAGGAAGTGTCACCAAGAAGCTGAGGAGGCTGTGAGAGGACTGCTGGGGAACCTGGCTGGCCCTGGAGAAGGACCTACCTACGGGAGTGACATTTAAGCTACCTTCTACATTGCAAGCAGATATTCTAGTAGAAGTAGCACAGAGCAACATGTGGGACCCCAAAGTGGACAAGGGTATGGCATGTTCGAGGATGAAGCCAGCATGCCTGGCAAGGAGGAAAGGAGAGAGCAGGGCGAGGTGAAGCTACTGGAGTTCACAGTGCCAGGTCACCAGGGCTTGTGGTCATGTTAGGGTTTTGTCTCATGTACAAGAGCAAGGAGACGCTATTAAAGGGTTTGGGTGAAGGACTGGGGAAATCAGATTCTTGTCTGGAAAAAACACTCTGGCTGCAGTATGAAGAGGTGAGAGCCGGGCTGGGGCAGATGAGGAGATTGGGGGCAGGAGACCATTATAGGAGTACAGGTGAGAGATGGTGGTAGGGGCTGAGAAGGAGACGATCGTCCTGAGGCTGGACAAAATAGCAGATAATATCAGCAGGAGCTGGGAATGGACTAGACATGAGAGCTGAGAACGGCAACGGTCAAGTATAAGACCATGAGGTTTATGACTTACAAAGACTATGGTGCCTGTTTGCTGATATTAAGAAGGAACTCCTCATGCCCAACCTTTGGGCTGACTGTGAGCAGCACACTGAACTGGGTAGGAGCTCAGGCCCTCGAGTCAGCCTGACGTGCATGGTGAGCCTGCTTCTTACCCCAGGGCATCCCTGGTCCAGTGGCTCAACCTCCCCAGGCCTCTGTTTCCTCATCTCTAAAATGGGACTGAGGGTGATGATGGTGTTTACCATTTAAGGCTGTGTGAGTATTAAATGAGATAATGCATATATGGAACTTACAGCACCGCCTACCATTTTTTAGGCTCAAAAGATATGTTAGATGAGATTATTGTAGGGCCAGTCACTTGAATAATCTAAGCTGACTGAATGAACTGTCTAGAAACGTTGAGAAGACTCTTCTCTGCCTTCTCCCCATTGCTAATGTACAGAGAACAAAACAGGAATTACAAGGAAGCCTGAACTTGGAAGTCCGAGTAGAGTCACTCAACCGTGACTTCACTATAAATGACTGCTCTGTTTGCAGAATGGGACCAGCTCCATCTACCCAGGCAGAACTGGCTGATGGGCTCGCCTTCCTGGTGAAGACTCCGACAGGTAAATAAACCACCCGCAGTGCAGTGTTCTAAGAGGTGCAGACATACAGAAGAATGGCACCTAAACTGTCCAGAGGTCTAGGAAGGCTTCCTGAAGGAGGTAACCCCCAAACAGAGGCCTGAAGGACCAGTAAGAGTTGGGGAAAGAACATTCTGGGCTATGGTTGAAGCTCAGGCACAGGCCTGTGGGCAAGAATGCTCTGGGGCCCCAGGCAACTGTACATGGCTGGAGGCAAAGTCTTAAGCTGGGAGTGGCTACAAATGGGGCTGGATAGATAGGCTGGGGCTGGTAAACCAAGACCGGGCTTTTTCCTGCAGGAAATGGGGAAACCACTGACGGGTTTATGGTGGGAGCAGAGCCTGAACAGATGTGCAACACAGAAACATCTGGAGGATGGGCTGGAGGCCGCAGAGTCTACAGGCAGAAGCAGGCGTAACCAATACCTAGAGAGTACTCACCATGCAGACACTGTTCTGGCAGAAAGTTAGTTACCAACAGGAGGGATGACAACAGCCAAGACAGAAGTGTAGATGGTAGACAAAACTGAAATGGGAGAGGAATAGGGCAGCTCTTCCCCATTCTCTTCTTACCTCCTAATAACCTCCATGCTGATGGAGAGTCTAGAATATAAGCCCTGTGAAGGCAAGGACCTTACCTTCTCACTGTTGTGTCCCCAGAATCTGTGTCCTACCAAGTAGAACAATGGGGTACATTGAAAGTTTGCTGAATATAAGTAAGTGAAAAACCACATGTCTCAGCAGGCCTTCAGAAAGAATCTAAAGCAGCGGTCTTAATCTTTCTTTTTTTCGGGGGGGGGGCATGAACCCTTTGGACAGTTTCGTAAATCTTAAGAACTCTTCTTAGAACGTTTCTATGTATGCAAATAAAAGAAATTTGTTGTACTGAAGTATAGTTACCAAAATTTTCTTAAATGTGGCATAATGATATGGGTGGTTCTTTAATAAATCATTACATAAGAAATGTAGTAATAATAGGGGCACCTGGGTGGCTCAGTGGGTTAAGCCTCTGCCTTCGGCTCAGGTAATGATCTCGGGGTCCTGGGATTGAGCTCTGCATCGGGCTCTCTGATGAGTGGGGAGCCTGCTTCCCCCGCTCTCTACCTGCCTCTCTGCCTACTTGTGGTGTCTCTCTCTCTCTCTGTGTCAAATAAACAAATAAAATCTTAAAAAAAAAAAAAGGAAAAGAAATGTAGTAATAATTATTGTAATTTCAAAGTGGTGATGAGCATAATCCTATTTCAAGATATTTACAATAGTCATAATGTGATATGAAGAGCTTTCTGGTTTCTACCGGTGACCAAGGCACAGGTGCTACAGATACCTGTTTCCCCATGCTCTCCTAATCAAAGGAAACATTACAGGTTAAAAATGTAAAGATGTAGGGACGCCTGGGTGGCTCAGTTGGTTAAGCAGCTGCCTTCGGCTCAGGTCATGATCCCAGCGTCCTGGGATCAAGTCCCGCATCGGGCTCCTTGCTCGGCAGGGAGCCTGCTTCTCCCTCTGCCTCTGCCTGCCATTCTGTCTGCCTGTGCTTGCTCTCTCTCTCTCTCTGACAAATAAATAAAATCTTTAAAAAAAAATGTAAAGATGTGATTCGTCCATGGACACTGTAGAGGTCAGGTCAGGAACATTTGGTCTTAAGACAGAAGAGCAGCTCAAAGGAGGCCAATAAGGGCTTTTTTCCCCATTAAGGATGCTTGAACCCTTTCCTGCATGGAGATGTTTTTTGCTTCAGATCCTGGATCTAAGGGGCAAGCTTGCTCAGAGATGACCAGCAGGCCAAGGACAGCTGTGCGTCCAGCAGGAGCTCTTTGGGGAGGCACCCAGATGAGCCAGCAGAGCACAAAAGGCCTGGTGGTCAGGGCATTGTAGAATGCCTTCTAGACCCTACCAAGAGCCCTGCTTCGCCCTCCTACAGAGCTGTCTGTGTCTCAGGGTCCATCTAGCACCAGCTGGTAAGGCACAGGGGCTGCCAGGCTGTACGCACAATTGGAAAAGAAAGACAAGGAAGGGACCAACCTTTCAGGCTACCACCACAGATACTGTCAACAGTCTCAGGTGAGGTGTCCTTAGCAGCAGCCAGAGAATTTCAGCTCTGGACATAATGAAGAGCTGACATCAGAAGCAGGCATAAGGCCCAGGACACTAAACACTGTGCATTTCTCAGTGTGCCCAAGAACATAGATACTGAACTACCCAAGGGTCCGACTCACTGGCCCTTAAAAGAACGACGACGCTGCAACCCAAGGGAAAGGGAACTCTTCCACTATCAGGAAACCACAGCTGGTTCTGTGGAGAACCAGCAGGACACCACTCACCTGCCTGCAGCAGCTTTTGTCTGTTCTCAAACCCTGAGGACCCCCCACGGGGATCCCCCACATACATGCATGCCTTCTGTCTCTCAGACAAAAAAATTAGCTAAGGACACTCTTACTGAAGTCCTTCTAAGAAAATTTTTTTCAAAAAGAAAAGAGTCTATGACACATAAAAGATGTTTTTCCAAATCTGTTTTCACACCTCCCCAGTGAAGTGTTAAGATGAAATATATATAGTTACAATCAGTTACTGTGACCATATTTCAAATGCTGTCCCTGAAAATTACATACAACATTATCCCAACTGTTTGCCCAGTAGCAACACTGAACCCTAGAAAGGAAGGTGTTCTGAGGAAGACTTTTAGGCTGCAAAAGACCAGTCTGAAACCTACTGAACACAATGTTTTCAGAGCCATCAATCAGCAGGAGAGGCCTCTGAATGATTAAATAGAAGAGTATTCCTAAAATGATAACAATAGACATTCATTCGAATCACTTCCTACCTCCTGCAGTGTGTGTGTAATAGGTGACCAAAATAAGATGTGGAAGAAAAGTAGAGAGGAAGAGAAAGAAATTGTCCTCCCTCCCTGAATGCAACTGTAAGAGGACATAGTTCACATTCAAGTTCTGTCACCACCATCTTCCAGCTTTGTGACTTTGAGCAAGTATCTTAAGTACTTTAATCCTCGTGTTCTTAATCTATAAAACGAACTTCGTAACACTGACCTTACAACATTGGCTCTCCACAGCCTTACATGAGCTTACGTGGATGGAAGAACTTCTCTGGTCATTAACGATTTTACAAATATAAGGCATGCAACAAGAAATAGGGAAGGATCCCAGAATCTTCAACTGACAGCAACTCTGCAGTCATCGGGGCTTGTGACAGCCAAGGGAAAGAGAGGGACAGTTCAAACCTGGCAAAGAACAAAGCTAAATCATCAGCCCAGAAGGAAAGGTAGAGGGTGAGACTGACTTTCCAACCACCACCCCCACAATGGACTCAAGATCAAGATGCTGACGCAGACCCCGTGGATACCACATACCAACGCTTTCTTTAACCCTCACAGAGAATGCTGGGTATCTTATCTTGTGCTTTTCCATGATCCTGTAGCTCTCTATGACTGGCAAACTTGACTTCTGTTCAACTTCTGCTTTAGTACCTAATGTCCAGTACTCACCTTACACCCTCAACATATGAACAGCTAAGCTACATGAGTAGTGGAAGCAGGGGCCCCTTTCCCCACTTGAAATGCGCTTCATTGCCTTGTATCCTGAGCAGTGTGAGAGGGCGTTCCCCTGTGGTTACTGGCACCAAGGGCCACTTACTTCAGTGCTGAGACTTGCACTCAACCGCCGATTAAATAGAACTTCAACTCACCCTATCCTTATCATCCCTAGGAGACCCAAAAAACAGCAGAAGGGAAGGAATGCATGGAAGTAACCAGACGAGGTGGCCTCAGGATTCCCCAGATTTGGGCCTGACCACCACCTTCCTGGAGCCTCCACGCCCATCTCTGAAGAGGCCAGAGGGCGTCAAAGGACCACCATCAGTCATCACGGCCACACTCGCTTGACATGTGACCAAGCAGAAAGTAGAAAAGGGGTTTTACTGTTGAAGGGATTTCCGTGGGAATCTTTTGTGATCCAGAAAACAGATCAAATTTGATTCTATTTGCTTTCCAACAAGAAAAACTAAGCAGACAAACTTGAAAAACTCTTCAACATGAGCTTCTAACCCTCAATGTAAGTTTTCACAATAGAACTGCTATAAATCCATGATGAGTGACCGTCACCTGCAGTAAGTGAATGATACTAATTAGACCGGCTGATTGCAGTGATAAGAAGGCATGAGGGGGACTAGGAATCACAGGACTGGTAGAGATAGGAAAGACGGTCTGAATACTTGAGCAAAGCTGAGGGACTCAGAAGCTCAGATACAAATGAAAGTACTTCTGATGTGGTATTATCATTTAAAGAATTTACAACATTGTTAACATGCACCTGAAATACTCTAGCTTCTCAAATTCTCCCCACTCCCCACATAAAACAACTGCTTTTATGAGGCCATTTTTAGGAACACAAAGTTTGTTAGGGTGGAGCTGTAACCCTGGAGGGGAGGGGGCAGTACCTTAAAGGAATACTTGCGACTTATGCGGTCCTCAGGGGCTACAGGCGAGATCACATAGCTGGGCAGAGGGATGCTCCCAAGGACCGCTTCTTCTCGGCTGTCTTTGAATGGAAAAAAACACATCAGAATCATCTTCTGTGGCCCCTTTCCTGGGTTGGGCCATCCCACTGCCCCCATTCAAGGCCCCTTATAGCTCCCTAGGACTACTGTCATCACTGATCGTCCATTCAGGTGCTCCCTGGGACCTTGCGGTTAATGCGGGAATGACACAGGTGAGTCAGACGGGGTCAGACACAGGCACGGAGACATGCTCAGTGCAACCTGTGAACTCCTGAAACAGGGCATTATGCCAAGTACTGTGGGAACACAGAGGCAGAAGTGGCACACAGTCCGGGGAGGCGGAGAAGGCTTCGGAAGGAGATAACTAAAGTGTTTTAAAGGATGGGGAAGGGCATTCTGGGAAGAGCAAACCTCATAGGCAAAGTTAGAGCATGTGCGAAATAGCCTACCTTCTACGTCTATTCTCCTCCTCCTCCAAACTATCTTCATCACAGAGGTAACTTCCTAATGACAGCGTTGGTCCTGCTGCTCTCCTACTCAAGGACACTTGCTGACTGCCCACTGGATGCAAAACGCAGTTCAGCTTACTCTATCTAGTGGCACAACCCCCTTGCATTTTGGCCCTTACCCACTTCCTGAGCCATCTTTCTACCATGTCCTGCATGCAAGACTCACTTTGGCCTCACAGGTCTATCCTTCCACTTTCTTCTGCTTCCAGAACTTTATTCAAGTTGCTTCCTCTACTTGAAATGCCCATCTGCCCCCATATGCAGGCAAAGCTCTACCTACCTTTATAAGCCCAACTCAAATTCCATTAATTCTGAAAAGTCTCCCCCAATTCTCCAACATGGAATTAATTTATTGCTTGCTCCCCCTGAATTGCTTAAGCTCGCTGAATGTCCTCTAAAGCACCTAATACAGCCTAGTCTGTTTTACAAGAAAACTCTCTCTTCCTCCACATTTTGAGTCTTACTTCATTCTCACTATTACACAGCCCTAACTCTTTGTACTAGCACTCCAAAAATGTACATGTGGCCAACTCAATTCACAAGTTGATTCATCCAATATTACAGGGGATAGATCCAGACAACAAGTTATAAAATACAGTGATTTATCTATACTTCCCACCTCTCCAGATGGTGTCGAAGGTATGCCTGTGTTCCAAATGGGGTAGAAGCTGAGACAACTCCAGACTTGGAGAGCCTAAGTAGCAGATAAACTGGATTCTATTTATTTTAACTCAACAAGTGGCACTTCAAGTATAAGGACTGGTAAAAATGAAGTCACCAGCCATTCACATATGTAAAAGTGAACACTTTGGCAAGTAAACAGGTTATAAACTAGCTTGGGCCACTGGTCCAGTCACTGGGTTTGAGAATATAACCCCTGTATCACCTCACCATCCCCTCCCGCAAAAAGAGCCCTTGATGGCCTGAGCCTCAGCTCACCTTTATAGTAAAACAAGCAATAATCAGCGAGCACAAACCACCTCCTTTTCCATAGTCTCATTCCAGAACTGTCCTGCAAAGCGAAAAAAAACTAATCAGACAATATCTGAGCATACTCTTTCCCCTTTCCAATCATGCAAGGCGTGATGTTAGAACCAAGACTTACCCATAGCCACTCGTTCTTTCAATAAATTAATGAATTAATAAGTTTATTGCATGGTCATATTTTAATAGGACTTTAAAATTTAGATTCAATGATGGTTTGTCCCCAGGAAGTTTTGTGTGTTTCCTGGAAACAGATTAATGTAAATATCCTCCTTTTAGAAAGAAAGATGTGAATTCAAAAAATACAGTTCTTCCATTAAGAAAGAAATCAGTTTTTAACAAAAAGGAAGCTATTTATTTATTTAGGTGCTATTCTGGAAAATATCTTCTCTTTTGCTGAAGAGAAAATTGATTTACACAGAATGGATTTTCCTTTCATTCAGTGTAAAGAGACTTGGATTGTCTTGCTATCAATTGCCTCATAACATGAATTTATCTTTATGCATTTAAAATGTAAATCAATACATTCATTAAAAATATTTTAGGTGATTATAAACATTCTAAAAAAAAATAAATAAGGCCAGGGTAGGAAAATAGTAGGGCTGTAGGGTCATTTTTCTCCCAAACCTAGGAAAACTCCAGAGTTGCTTTTAGCTGTTAAAACTGTTTTCCTGGGCACCTGGGTGGCTCAGTTAGTTAAATGTCTCAGGTCATGATCCAAGAGTCCTGGGATCAAGTCCCACATTGGGCTCCCTGCTCAGCGGGAAGTCTGCTTCTTCCTCTCTCTGCCTGCTGCTCTGCCTACCTGTGCTCTCTCTCTGTCAAATAAATAAATAAAATTTTTTTTTTTAAGTTTTCCTTCTGCAAATTTTTCGACAAGTTTAAATTTAAAAAAATAACAGTTATGTTAGTCTCTAAACCTAAGCACAGCATGAAGTTTCGTTCACTCTCCACTTACTAAAGTGCTAAAAACAAATTTAACTTGCTGAGTTCATGCATCTCTTGGTTTTATCTTCTGCTCTGGCCAGATGATCTCTAAGATCTTGGCATATTGCTTTGTTTGGAAAACTCCTCTCCATCCTTTCACACCTAGTGCAAATGTCACTTCCTCTGGGAAGCCTTTCAGGACTCCCCCAAGCACAGCTACATTCTCTGTGTTGTGTGTCCACAGCACTCCACACAGGCCTCTTACAGTTACTGGGCTGGGCAGTGGGGGCTGGCGAGAATTACTTACAGCCCCTTCCTTCTCCCTCCACATATCAAAGGAGCATACTTTTGTTTATTGGGGACGGGGATGCAAGTGGAAAAGTCAGAAGGTTATTCAGGCAAAGAGTTGGGCAGAGAGGCAAGGAAAGAGACACAGCTGTGAGGGAAGCGGGGTCACTTAGAGAGATGCCAGCACTGTGTCTGACAGAGAAGGTTAGCTATGGAAGCTGCCTTGGGGAGTCTGATGGGAAAGAGATTTCAAGGGGACTTCCAGGAACCACTTCCATATAGTGCACAATATAATGCCCTCTTCTGTCTTCCCTCAAAGCATTTGGTAAAAATTAACATCATAGCTCTTGGAGTTTGTGTTTTTTTGGATGGTATGTGAGAGACGATGAGGGCGACGAGAGGACATGTGAGAGATGTGTCTGTTTCCCCAGGAAACTGAGTTCCTCATTGGCAGGACCCACATGTTATTCAGCTCTTTATACATGCTGTGGAAGCAGTTAGAACATGGCAGGCAGGGGCGCCTGGGTGGCACAGTCAGTCAAGTGTCCACTTTTTGTTTCCAGCTCAGGTCATGATTTCAAGGTTGTGGGATCAAGCCCCTTGTTGGGCTTTGCATTCAGTGCAGAGCCTACACAAGATTTTCCCCGTCTCTTCCCCTGCCCCTCCCTGCTGCATGCGCTCTCTCTCCCTCTCCTGAAAACAAATAAATCTTTGAAGGGATCTTAATTAAAAAAAAAAAAAAAAAGAACCTGGCAGGCACTTGGTAAACAGATAGGCAGAAGGACGAATGGATGGCTGGCAAGGAGAGAAGGAAGGAGACAAAAGGGACATGCTCTCTGGCCCTGGGAGCTCACAGCCTAATTGTGGCCAGAGGACATGAGACAGAACAATTGGTAGTGAGTTTAGAGATGCATGATAGCCTCAGGGGAGCTGACAGGGCTTCATGAGTGGAGGGATGTAGGAGAAGAAAGAGCTGTTTCTAACCAGGGTACCTAGGAGAACAGTGGTATCGTCACTAAGATCCAGAAAAAGTAGGCTGGGGAAAAAAGAGAGGTAAGGGGTGAGGAGGCAATGAGTTGAGTTTGGCTGATTCGAAATCCAAGGTACTGGGGAGCTAGACATGTGTGCTAGGCCAGGGGAGAGGAAAAGATAGGATTTTTCAGCCAAATGATAGGAAAGGCTCTTTAACATCAAGAGGCCAAGTGCTGGCTGGGGACTGGTGGTAAGGATGGATTCATACTGACCCAGTGAGTGCCTGGGTCCCAGGGCAGCCAATAGTACTGGGAACCCAAGGGGTCAAGTAGGTTTGGGGAGGGAAGCTATAGCCACTGAGCAGACAATCCACTCATAAAAATGGATAGCACATCTCCCTCAGACAAAGCCGGGAACAGAGAGCTTATTAAGAGTCTGTTCTCAGCTCCCAGGGGCCAGGGTAAGGACGGAGATCAGCTAGAGCCACCCCTCTCCCCGCCCCTCCCCTCCCAGTCTCTTCACCTGCTTGTGCAGCCATCCCCTCACCACCACCGGAACATTGGGGTTCCTCCGAATAGCCTGGTCCCTCTTCCCAAAGCTGTGGACTTTATTGCTGGACTTCATGATCTAGGAAGAAGCAGACTCAAATTCTAGCAGCACTTGGGGGACTTCGTGAGTCACAAAAAGCACCTACACGATAGGAGAGCTGTAGGCTCTTCTGCCTTACTCTGAGTAGCAGTGCCCTTTGATGAAAAGAATAGCAAGGAGACCAGAATAGGCGGGCACAAGGCCACAGAATTTTAATTAAAAGGCGAATCCAAGGCCTAGCACGCTTCCCGTCCAGGTCACAGAGAGAAAAAAAACAAAAACAAAACAACAACAACAAAAAAACTTAAAGGGATTTTTCAATGAACTTTCACCAGCAGCTGTTGGCCTTCATATGTCCTAGGCTTTCTGGAGCAAAGCTACTTTTCCATCATAGATTTTGCCAATTTCCAGCTATTTACCGTCCTACCTGGGTCCAGTCCTCAGCACTCACCCCTTCTCTGCAATGCTGGTTCTTTTCCCTGCTCCTCAGTCAATGGTCCCACATCTCACCTTTCCTCAGGCCCACTGGCCACAAATCCCACCAGGCAGTCTCATAACACACCTGTGAACAGAGGTGTGGCCCTCCCACGACAAGTCAGAAAAATGAAGAAGGCATCCAAGGACTCAGATGTCAGTCCCAGTTCTGCCAGCAATCACCTGTTTTCTTGGACAAGTGACATAACCCCAACTGGTCTCCACTTCCTGATCTGACCTTTGAGGAAGATACTTCTTACATGCCTCCCTCACAAAACAATGGTGGGGGTCAATGGGCACCTACACAATATTAAAAGGTAGAAGGAAGGAGTGAGTGGCCAGGAGCTCACCTTGGGACCAGGCTTGGCCTCCACGGTGGACGTAGTTCCAGCTGTGGACGTCTCACTGACCATGCTGGACGGCCTTTGGTTTCTCTCTTGCTTTGACATATGTGGATGTGGCCTGTGGGAAGACATGGGAGAGTCCAGTAAGTGCCAGGCTGCAGTGGAAGTGGAACCTGAGATTTGCTCCAAACTAGAACTGGTTCATGTGCCATGACTGATCTTTTGGAAAATACCAGATTCCAGACTGTACCAGAGGACCACAAAGTCCGCCTGCTTCAGGGACTCAAGACGATCACAGCTGGGCACACCTTCATGGCTGAAACCCCACAAAGGGGCCAAGGCCATCATTCCTGCCTGCTGTCCTAAGGTCCCCACATTTAATCTCTTAATCGGGTGTCTGTGGCAACTGCCCAATCAGATGTGCACACACAGCTGTGTCACTCTTCACATGACAGAAACCCATACTCCTTACACACACACACACACACACACACACACACACACCCCTCCATTTCTCTGGCTCCCAAAAGAAACTGCTTATAATTAGTAATAAGAAATCACTTGTGCACACATCCACACCCCCAGATACACACAGAGAATCGCTTACATAAACGCCAGTGGGGCTTGCCTCCCAAAATAGATTACTCAACAAAGAACCCTATTCTAGGAACACTCCTTTGCCCCAAAATAGAACCATCAGAGATATTAACCCCTTGTGCCATGCCTGGGAGCAGGAAGCAATGAAACATGCCTGGGACCCCAATGGAGAGCCCCTCTGCGCATCCCAACAGCACCCAGAGACACCATGCTTCCTGTCAAGGTCTGCCTGCCCTGAGAGAGCCAGAACTGGGAACATCTCAGTAGGACACTCAAGAGACACTACAGAGAACCCTTCTCACCTGCCTCCACACAGCTCCAGCATTCGGCAGTCTTTCCAAGCCTGGATGGCAGCGAGAGCCTCCAACAAATTCAGTGCCTATCCTTGAACAGCTTGATGCCTGATTCCCAGACTCTACTAACTCCGGGATCAGTAAGCCTTCCTCCAAGTGTGAGTCTCCTTGTTCTGTGGCTGGGTTCCCTGATGGGCAACACGATCCAGGCAACGGCAATATACTGAGGCTCCCTGCCTGAGGAGAGGTGGAAATTGGATTTGGAGGCCTGGGCCAGGAGCCTGAAGAGAGGGAGCATCCAGACAAGACCCAACGAGGAAGCAGCACTCTAGGTGTCCATTTGCCAGGCTCACTTTTACAGAGGTGCCATGAGGGAAAATCCTAGTTTCCACCTTGGAGAGAGGCAGTTTCCTTCAAAACCGCTACTGCACAAAGGATAAGGGATCCTTCCTGCGCCCCAACACGGAGCCCCGACACCCGGCACCATTACTTCTTCACGGAAGTAGCCGTGACCACCGTGCTCTCTGAGCTGCACCAACAGCAGGACCACTGCAGCGGGACCAGCTTTCCGAGGGGCTGAGCTCTACCGGATGTTTGGCAGCTGGAGGTGCAAGTCCCACCAGGCAGAAAGATCACTGGCTCCTTATCAGCTCAGGCACTCACTCCAGATTCCCCGCCCCCGGCCTCCATCCCAGCCAGACTTTTGTTCCTGCTCCCCACTCAGAGAATGTCACAGCACTCAACCCGCTCACTGTTGGCGGAGGCTGCATGCAGCAGAAAGATAATCGCCAACAGGGGGGTGAGAAAGGCCCTGAGAGGCTGCCTTGTCCAGCCCCTGCCTCCAGGCAGAACTATGTCCAAAACATCTGCCTGGAACCTCGTCTTGCCTGACGTTCAGATTTCCAGAGGTTGAGACAAGGATGAGTTCTCAGTTATGGCAGCTGTAGCTCTATGCCAAAATTGAGGACACAAAGTCTAACAATAATAGAGGTTTGTTTGGGATTTATCAAGTTGAAATTGCTCCCATTTAAGACACAGACAGAGATTATAGAATACCTGGGAAATATTTTTTAAAAAGCTAAAAGGAAAAAAAATTGATCATACTCTTGCTACCCAAAGGAATATCATTTTTAACACTTGGTATATATCCTTCCATTCTTCTTTATATGTCTGGTTTTGGGGGTGGTGTGAGGGAAAAGAGTGCTTTTTTTTATATAATTGTTATGATACTATGTTTATGATTTTGCATTTTGATTTTTTAAACTTATTATAAATTAGACATTTTCTCTATTATTTTCAACACATCAACATCATTTTGTTTCTTTATTTTTATTTCTTTTTATGTAAGCTCTATGCCTAAAACGGGGTTTGAACTAACAACCCTGAGATCAAAAGTCACATCCTCTACCAACTGAGCCAGCCAGGTGCCCCACAACCACATCATTTTAAATGACCACATCACATTCCATCAACTGGCTATATTGTTTCTCCTCTGTGGGACAAAGAAAGGCTATTCGGATGGATGTGTGACTGGCCTGGAAGGTCCAGGATGATGGCCACTTGCACCCTTTCTGTACCTTATAATCTTGAGCTCTGACTTTAATCACCTCCTGCTTTCTAGCCCCATGTCCCCACCCCATTCAGGGATGCTGACTGGTCAGGGAGCTCCTCCAGACAACCGTACTGTCTTACACTTTGGATGGGTGAGGAAGGAAGGTACAACCACCACCTAAGGAGCCAATTATGAAAAGATTTCAGCTGGAGAAGGACTGGTTTTGGTCCCAACACTGAACATCAGTGAGGGACAGTGGAACACAGTGGTTTGTAGCAGGGGCGGGGAGAGGGGTGGCTGGAGTGTGGCAGAGTAGAAGAAGAAAGAAAAACATGAGGACAACTCCACCTTCATTTACAGAGACCTCTGCTCAGCCACACCCAGAGAAAGCTGGCTTATCAGGCGATATGACTAAAGCCCAAACTATATCTGCCCCAGAGAAGAGACTGTGTTGTCTCTACAAACAGTGAATGTCTTCATCAGGGCTCCCCATGGGCAGGGACAGCTCCCAGCTTGAGCAACAGTTTCAACCCCTACCTCGCAGTCCCTGACCTGGCTCTTTGAAAGAACAAGGTGCACACAGCTACGCACTCAGCGCAGTGACAAGATCGGCCTTCAGAGGATGTTCCTCTGAATCTCCTTAATAACGGTAATGAACTCCCAGGTCTCCCAAGGGTAAATATGACTTTGGGACATAACTAGTTATCTGGAACTACAACTAGTTTAAAAAACAAAGCAAAACAAAACACGTGGTGGTCATGCTTGGAATACCACTGGGTACCCCCAAAAAAAGGATATAAAAAAAGTCTCAGGGTACCTGGGAGGCTCAGTCAGGAAAGAGTCTGACTCTTGATTTCAGCTCAGGTCATGACCTCAGGGTCCCGAGACTGAGGCCCATGTCAGGCTCTGCACTGAGGCCTGTTTAAGAATCTCTCTCTCTCTCTCCATCTGCCCTTCCACTTACCCCCAACCTAAAAAAAAAAAAAAAAAAAAAAAAAAAAAAAAAGAGCCTCAAAAACAATTTTCCCACTTGGCTGAAAAGCTGGCTTGGATGGAAAGTTCTGGAGGTTGTTTACCATACGTTTTGAACAATAGGACTATCAATGGTGTTATATATTTATATAGCCTCCCAAAGGGAGACAATACTGAAAGAATTGCCTTTCAGTGAACACAAGTGTGTTCCCCACTTAAGAGCCTGGTGGGGCAGAGACTGACTCTGTCTTCAACTCCTCAGACTCAAGATCCATCCTCTCCTGAGAGGAGCCTGAGCCCCTGAGCTGAGTAGCTGTGAAAGGTGGTTCAGTTAACAGCATGCCCTCAAGCACATGAGTCACACAGCTCCCAGAAGAGGAGACCAAGACACCTGCACAAGCTATGGGAAGGCAGACTCTTGGTGTCATTAAATAAAATCTATTAACTTAAAAGCCTGTTTGCCAGGTTTCTGGATTCCCAAAGTACAGTGGGACGATTTGAACAAAGACGTCTCTTTCCTTAGCTTGGGCTACATGAATGCTGATTATTTTGCTGGAGGGGTGTGGGCTGAAGTTCAAAACAGTGAGCTAGAGTTTTAACTCAACTGCCTCCCAGCTGAAATGAACAAAAGAAGTTAGAACTAGACAAAACTCAGTCTGGAAAAGCCCAGTAGCAAAGTGATTTCATCCTACTCTAAACTTCCTGAAGGATGTGTCAAGTGAGCCTGGACAGAAAATCACTTTCTCTGTCCCTCAGTTTCCTCCTCTATAAAAGGAACTGCTTTTGCTACCTACTTACCCAGGAGCAAATGCATACAACACTGACAATGTGGTAAGAGGGAGGTTATAAATTCAGAAGTCATTTTTTTCTGTTGGGTCTGAATTGAGCTGAGTTTGGTTACTGGGAACCCCAGATGCCTCCCAGTAACATCATGAACAAGAGTAAGCTGTAGTGGGATCACGGCAACACGCTTCCCTACCCTATCACCGTCTTAATAGGTAGGTCACCAAGCCAAGAACCAGCAAACCTAAGGGTCGGTACACAAGGTCAAGCAAGCAGAGGTACTGGACTGGACTTGTCCAGCACCTACTACATGCCAGGCACTCAGCCTGCATTATCTCCCTTAATCTTTATCATACCCATTTTGTAGATGAGAAAACTGAGGCTAAGTGAGATGAATGACTTGTCCAGGACAGAAGTTGGACTCTAACACCTGGGTTTTGCCACAGAATCATCATCCCAAGGCAAGTCCCAATGTGTGACAGAAGCAGGCTGTTGCTGCTCTTCTCAGTCCCAACCCCCTTCTCCAAACCAAGAGGATCCTGGGGTGGTGGAAAGACCAGGAGCCTGGAATAACCAGATTTCAACAAAACTCTACTGTTTAGTCACTCCTCCCCAAGTCACATCATTTCTTTGGACCTCAGTTTCCATTTCTGCAAAACGGGACGAAAACTATTCTCATCTCAAAAATGGTTGTGTGGACTCTAATGAATGACCTTTTGAAAACCATGACACATTACACTCAATGAAAAGCTTTGTTGTGGCTGTTCCCAGTGGAGACCCCAGAATTTAAATCTCAGGTACGCTCTATTTTTACTCCCAAGGCACTTCTCTCCCAGAAAGCTCAAACTGCCAAACAATTAGCTTCTAAACAAATCACTTCCTAGAAACACCCCTATAAGCACCTTATCTATGTGGGGCTCC